GGCTCATATAGAGTCTTAATATTTCAAAGCACATGATGAATAATTTTTATCAAATACACAACAATATTTGTAGATTTTGTAACAACCTTAAAATAGTCACATACTTAAGAAAATAAATAAGATAAACTTCCCTAATATAAAATGTATATCACATCATTGGCCGATACCATATTCATCACATCATATAACTAGCATATATCTAATGAATTTCAATGTATACGTACTTATAATCACCAAAACAATCTAATGGAAACAAAACACTTGTAAATACCCAAATATAAAATTCATAGAGAGGAATGTTTTTTGAGAAGCCATTATTTTCCTAAGCGAGATCGCTTTCCGATCTTTCATTTTCCTCTAGAGTATTTTTACTTAAACGAAGTACTATCTCTTGAGTGAGAACTCCCTCGCTTGAGTGTGTCAAACCCCACATCATTAAAATATTGCTGCTTGAGCAAAACATTTTCTCTTTAGTAAAAATGAAGTTGAGATTACCTTTCTTAGTCCGAAAGTCTCGACATTCTAGAAAAAAAACTCTCACTTAACCCAAAATTATAGATATATTAGATTCTACAAGTTAAAATAACTACTAGACACACAGACTCATTCCAAATCATTTTTACCAAAATGTTCATTAAAAACAAAATACAATTTCAAACTTAACTACATTTAAATATCATTTTCTTTGTGTATATCATATAATTCATCAACAACATACTCAAATCAATTAAATACATTTCATAAAAATAACTTGTACTAATTTTTAAATGGCATATTCAATTCAATTCTTGCAAAATACTATGAAATCTAAAGATGGACTAGTTTCTCTTACCTCTTTCTCTCTTTTTTTTCCTTTAATTAATAGTCCAAAAATCCTAAATTTCAAAAGAATTTTAATCATATTTACACATTCTCAAATTAACAAATTAAACATATAATTATGTTCTTAAATTAGTAAAACTTTATCTTTATCCTAAAACCTACACATATGTGAACCTAGAAGGGGCAAAGAGAAATTTTTTCGAAAATAACTTCTAATCGAATAAAATAATTATTTTTCACCAAAATACTAAAAATATAAAAAAGATAAAAATACCTAAAAAGAAATATAGAATAATATTTTATATAAATAAAATTTGAATAATTATATTTTTTATATATCATCTTTTTAACTTAACTATAAAAACATTAACTTTATTTTAATTAATCATTTATACTTCTATGCTTAGAATAAACTCAACCCTAAACAACACACGGACTTCAGTGTATTAAAAATGGTTGCATTTATTTCTCAGCAAGATATTTTTAAAGTAAATATATATATAAAATAAAATCCATTTAGTATTTTTAAAATTGTTATTTTTAGCTTTAATTTAAAATAAATTTTATTAAGTCTAAAAGAATCTTTTTCAAACGTACTCTTAATCAAATAGTATGATTAAAATATATAAAGATAGAAAAACTTGAGGGGTGACAAATTGATATTAAATATCATTCATGTTGTTGATAAAACTTGATAATTGATTGAATCACATATTTTTTAATTAATGTAGTAGAAAATTCATTAGCTAGGCCTACTGCTTCTGGATGAGTGCTCTTTCTATCAATTTATTATTATTATTATTATTATTATTATTATTATTATTATTATTATATTGATATTTATTTGTAACCAAAACAAAGTATAAATGGTACTTCAGTAAAATGTATTTATTATATTTATAAAATTAATAATTTTATGAAATATATTTTTTAATTATTATATTATAAAGAATTATTTACAGTGGAAAATAACAATAGTAAGGACGATAACTTAAAAACATGTAATGTGGATATTTATTTCTAATACAATTTATTTGACGCTCAAAATTATATTATAACTCAAATCTTGAATCATTTAGTTGATAATATAAACTATTATTATTTGAGTTAATTAGTGTTAATTCAAAAATATTAAATGTTTTTTCAGATAATTTTAATAAAATATTAAATACATAACAAAATAATAACATATTTTTATATATAAATAAATAAAATATTTTTTAAAAATTTTCTACCAAACATAAGAATAATCATGATATTTTAATCAAATACATTTCTTATAATTAATTAAAGATTTACTCTAGTTATAATTATATTTATAATATATATTAGTTTTAAAATAAATAAAATATATTTTTTCATGATAAATTTTTTATATTTAATATGATTAAAATGTTTTATCTAAATTTTATATAATATAAATTATTTTATTAAATGTTTAATTGTTAAAAAATAATTAATTATATGTGTATATATATATATATCATATATATATATATATATATATATATATATATATATATATATAAAGTTATGTAAATACTGATACATATGATTTTAATTATAAAAAAATCATTTTTATAAAAAAATTATATATGTGATATATATATATATATATATATATATTAAACTTATTAGATTTATGAAGTTTTTTTTATGAATTTTAATAATATATGTGAATTTTTTTAACATATATACGTCATTTTATTTATCTATATAGTTCTAATAAAATAATTAATAATATTTAAAATTATAATTAAATATTTTAATTATATTAAAAAATAAATATATGCAATAATTATTATATGTAAAATATATTTTATCTTTTAAAATTTAGTCTCTATTCTATTTATACTTTTTTTTATCTGTTCAAAAATATTAATTTTTTCTTAAATATAGAAATATCAAAATTAACTAAAGAATATTTATTGTGATGACTCATCCCTATTTTTAATGAAATGCATTACATGGCATTTTTTCTCCCTAGGGTTCCAACCTACTATTTATTGCTTCTTAATAAATGAAACTTTGAAGTGTGAGCCAACTATAATGAGTATCAAACCACACACTTAATTCATCTCTGGTCACTTTACAGTCAACCTTCATTCAAATAGCCAAAAAAAAAAAAAAGTGTAATAATTTTTGTAGCTCAGGGAGACATGTATAATGTAAAGTAAAAATATTGAATAAAAATTAATAAAAAAATATTTTTAATAAATAATGGTCAATTAACCAAGTTAAAAATAATATTTTTAAAATCGTGTATTTTTTTTAAATAATGATATGTATAATTTTATAATAAATTATATATTATTAAGTTTTTATCAGTTAAAAGATAAAAAATATAAAAAATAATATAAATTAAACAAGAAAAATAAAGCATAAATATTTATTTCACTTTTAAACAATTAAAAATCCAAACATAAGAAAATTTATATAGATAAATAATATTATAAGAGGACACTACTATTACTACTTTAAGAAAAGTGTGTACTAAAAGAAAAAGTAAAAAACTTGATGTAATGCACGAAATTTGAGACTTTGGAATATGAATACAATGTGAACGAAATCTTTGGCAGTACTTAATGTACGAGGAAAAAAACACAATTTCCATTCTCGTGAATGGTGGATCCCAACCCTCCTTATCCGTAACCACTAATCATACATATTAATTCAACAAAAACATACATCAAAAGTAATATCAAACAATAGGAAGATGAAAAGTAATCTCAGTTGTATCTTTTAGTTTGTAAGGAAAAAGTTTAGAACTTTAAGTTATGGAGTTAGTTTGGCCAAAAGGCCAAATCAAGCTAATTGAAATTCTACCAAAGTTACAATTGGGTGTGTATTTCGTTGACTTTGTATATTTTGAGTTTTGAGTACACGTAACATTGCACCAATTTTTAGTAGTATTACTCACGCAAGTGAAGTACTCTGAAAATCAATAAACCTAAATATTGTAAAGTTGTATTTGTATGAATTCATGAAACAGATTTCAAAGGGAAATGATGGGTCTTATAGCTTCTTCACAAAACTATGGATGAGAAGTTATGCTCTTAAAGTCTTACCTTTTTTTAGAACACAATGTTATATTAGATGAGGAAATCAAGAAACGTAGTTTGACATGATTGTGATTGATTTTTGTTATGAAAAAGGGATCATCTTTCACCTCAGAGTCATTTTGAGTCTTACCGACACGAAAATTGTGGAGGACTAGTGAGCTACTTCCAGAATGCCCTATTGATTTCAATAATTCATGCTATAAAACCAAGAAATGGACATGAAACAAGACAAACTCTATACCCCAGTTTTCTTTTTAATTTGAACCAATTAGGCTGGAAACCACTTATATCCAATGCCAACTTGTCATTTAATTTTATTCTCCCTTTTCCTCTTCTATTTGTTTCTCTACCACTTTTTTCTTTTTCTGCTTAAAAGCAATCTTAACTTTAACTGGTTCTAATCTCATATGTTTAATAGTTTTGATTCAAAGGAACCAAGAGATCCATCCATTCGAGAATTTGTTTATTCTCTCTAAGATTAGTCTTGTTTATGAATGCTCATTCTCCTGTCATTGTGTTACACTCCATATTCAAAAGTTAATTTGACATGAGAATAAGAATAATAGTGAAAATTCAGTTTATCTTCACTGTGTAATATTATAGATAAAACTGAAACACGTTTCACCTCTGAATAATATAAATCCGTGTTAATTTCTTTCGTAATGACATGACACACAAGCCAAAACTGCCCTTTTCAACGCCGAATAAGAGCAAAAACTAGTGATTTTGAAAGTGAACCTAGGCCACAAATGTTTTACTGCAATAATGGGGTGACAACTTTTTTTTGCAGTAAATTTAACTACAATGACATCCTGTGAACCAAGCTTGTTTGTTTAGGACACTTCCTTGGAAGTTTCTCCTACTCTTCCCGGTCCTCTATTTAGATTTTGCAGAATCTACTTTAGTGGCTCTTGATTCACTGCAGACTCTAGTAAAAAAATGATAATTAAAAAGCCAGAATCATGACAAGGGTATGTGAGAAAAAAATACACAAGTTACTACTTACCATAGATAGCCCTAGTCTTTAACAACCACTGAGCAAGGATCCCATGATTTCAGAAGCATACAAAAACATCCAACTGTAACATTATCACCCTCTCTTCCACTCAATCAGATATGCACATGATCAGGCCTCACAATTTGCCTTTAAATTGGTCCACCTCCTTTGTCTTTCCCATTGTGATTTACTCAGCACCAAAGCACACCGCCAAAGTGTTTTTCATTTGCAACCTTGCAATGGCTTCCAACAAGCTTATTGCCACCATCTTGGTGCTTTCTCTCCTTGCCTACTCAACATCCACTAATGCATGTGGCACATGCCATCCCAAGGCTTCTCCTCCTCCTCCATCAGGGAAGTGCCCTAAGGACACATTGAAGTTAGGGGTTTGTGCTGACATTCTTGGACTTGTTAATGTTGTTGTTGGCTCCCCTGTCTCTAGCAAGTGTTGTGCACTGCTTCAGGGTTTGGCTGATCTAGAGGCTGCACTTTGCCTATGCACTGCCATCAAGGCCAATGTGCTTGGAATCAACTTGAATGTGCCTATCACACTCAGTGTGCTACTCAGTGCATGCCAAAAAACTGTTCCTTCTGGCTTCCAATGTGCATAGAATAATAATTCATCATGCTAGGTTCATCTCATCCATCACTTGTGTCCTCAAATTGTTGTCTTGTTATAGTTCTTCTTTTTCTGCAATGTGTGACATGTTTCTTTTTAATAATCAGGCAAATGCATGTTTGCCTTAGTTATAGTAACCTTTGCTCTTTTCTGTTAAATATGGGGAACTTTGGTTTATCATTGTAAGTCTCTTTTTTTTTTTTGGGTATGTTGGAGTAGAGGGGTTTGAGTAGTGTAAGAGAGTGAGTTCCTTAGGGGATGATTAAATCTCTGATATCTTCGTTAAACCAAATCTTAAACACCACTATGCAGAATTTATCGTACTCTACCATCAAGTGTGTATTATCAATTTATAAGTTCAGCACTGTCTATTACTGTTGTCTAAATTGCTGTCATTATTCATCATATTACAAATCAGTTTTGCTAATTCTTTACCTCAATAGAAAAATGGTTAAAATTTTCGAAAGAGAACTAAATTTCATTAAAAAAATATAACATATTCCTACCAAGATTCCTAATAAAAAAGTTTTTGATTAAAATTTTTACCAAAGGCTAATGATTAACCAAAGTTCTTCACCTTTTTCTCCTGTCTGTGGATTGAAACAGCAGTGCTTACATGCAGCAGATACTATATACACAGATCTCACTTCTGGGGAACTTCACAAATTTTTGTTTAATTTCCTATGGATAGTTTTATGTAAGTAATATATTATAAAAAATTAAACAGTTTTAGTTTATATTTAATTTACAGCTTTCTGACCATTTTTATTCACAGTTTTTGTAACGAATCCTAGAAATCGCTACTTATAATGATGTCTTCGCAATGTAGTAAACAAGTAAATAACAACATTTATTTTACATTATATTACTGTAATTGTAACATATATTGAAATTCCAGGTTCACTAACGAACTTCAAAATATAGTAACATAATTTATTTATATATTATACATGTAAAAGTAGCTTCCTCGAAGTTATCCCACTGAACTATCCCTGCTGTCCAGTAGTCACATCACCATCTCTCAACTCCTGATCTGCTCCCACATAAAAGTGATCATCGCAGTCCCATCCACATGGAAAAATAGGGGTAAGTATTAAATCATTCGATATAATAAAACAGATATAGAAGTAATAATTACATATATTAATCAATTACAAAATCACCATCACACTAAGACACCTTCCGGAAGTATACCCTAACTATGCCCGAACTCAGAGGCTATCATCTGTGGGCACATTGTGATCGGTACCCGCAGTACCATTCTGACCACCCTCCACACAGAGTAGGATTACTGGCGCCCTTCATCACTCATACTGGAGTACCCCTCCGAGCACGCCACCAGTCATCCTCCCATCGACTTCTCACCACCTGATCTCGTAGTCTACCTGACCCGACCAATCAGTGAAGTCTGGGACCTCATTCAGAATCCTCTGACATAGTTATTACACTAATGTACTCTGTACCACCCCGGGTACCATTCAAACATAACAAAAATTATTCACATTTGCCGGATTCTGGACCACATGTCCTCACGGCTCATTCAAGTCAATAAAAATAGTATTTGACTGATTCTGGCACCAACCCTCCGGCTTAGTCTAGCCAATATATAACGTCTCAGGACTGATTCTGGGCATCAGCCCTCAGGCTCAGTCTGACCCACACACGTCACAACACACTACTTTCATTCTCTCTCTATCTTTATATATATATTTTTCTAAAATAATTTCCGAAATCATTTCTGAAACTATTTTTGAAATCATTTTCAAAATCATTAAATTACTATTTGCCCTTAATCTTTTCTTAACATGTCATGTATGTCCCTAAATGACTATTTTACCCTTGGATAAATTTTGAAAATTCCATTTATGTCCCTGTGATGTAAAATGACTAGTTTACCCTTGATCTTTTTAAAAATCCCCACCATATCCCTTTCTTTTTCCTTCGCTCGCTCAAGCGAGTACACTGGTCGCTTGAGCGAGATGGAACCCGAGAGTCCCCTTTGTTTGAAGGTTTCGTCGCTCAAGCGAGTACACCAATCGCTTGAGCAAGACATGACCCGAGAGTCCCCTTTGTTTGAAGCATCCGTCGCTCAAGCGAGTACACTAGTCGCTTGAGCGAGAAATGACCCGGGAGTCCCCTTTGTTTGAAGCATCCGTCGCTCAAGCGAGTACACCAGTCGCTTGAGCGAGACTTGACCCGGGAGTCCCCTTTGTTTGAAACATCCGTCGCTCAAGCGAGTACACTAGTCGCTTGAGCGAGACTTGACCCGGGAGTCCCCTTTGTTTGAAGCATCCGTCGCTCAAGCGAGTATACTAGTCGCTTGAGCGAGACTTGACCCCGGAGTCCCCTTTGTTTGAAACATCCTTCGCTCAAGCGAGTACACCAGTCGCTTGAGCGAGACTTGACCCGGGAGTCCCCTTTTTCCAGGTGTCCTCGCTCAAGCGATGTATTTTTCGCTTGAGCAAATTTTGCAGGTTTTCCAGTTCGCCATTTTCGAAATCCAAGTTTCAAATTTCTCAGTTTCAATCACCCAAATTAGTTCCAAATCAAAATTAAACCATAAACATGTTCAATTTAAGTTAAAAACAACAATTTTATTATATAATTTATCCTTAATTTCAAGAATTTCAGAAACTTTCAAATGGTGAACAGTTCATCGAATCGAAATTCTTCAAAATCAAACATTCAAATAATTCATATCTCTACTCCTATTCCTTATTCACAGAGTACCCGAGCAATTCAATTTCATATATTGAATGAATTAAACTTCCCCTTACTTGGTATGGTATTTCTACCGAAGCTTTCCCACCTAATTCAGGTTCTCTCCCGTTTCACCAGATCCTGCACGAGCGAGTCTCGTTACTTGAAACTTAGACAATAGAAGAAGAAGGATGAGAGGAAAATTTTGATTCTCCTCCTTCCCCGCTTCAAGTATGCATATATAAGAAAAACATTTACTGTGCATGAGAAAAACTTCGTTACGAAGTTTTGTTGCACAGTAGTATTAATATAATATTAAAAATAAAACATACGTCACAGTTTTCACAATACATGGAAGAAAAAAAAATGTATGATGAAATAAAGATACGAGGTGGAGAACTAAAATATATTCTGAACAAGTATTGTTAAATAATATTTGTATATCTGATGCATTACATTTAAGTTGTAGTAGATTGTGTTTGAATTTTAATAATATTATTTTGAATATAAAATAAATGAATTTGAGAAAAGTTACTTAGCCGCTTATATGTATGGAAGGTCTCCTGTAATCATAATTATTATTTCTAATAATAAATAAATCATGATTAAAAAATAAAATATACTATTTACTTTTACTTGGAAAAACTCAATATTCACACGCTTATAAATAAATGGGTTGGGCCTACAAAGTAAATGTGTCAACATAATCGTTGGTCCACACAGACCTATGGATTGGTGTTTGGCACACGAACCAAAAAACAATAATAAAATAAATAAATGAATAATAATAATAACCATTAACGATCAACGAAAACTTGAAACGATTAGTCTCTTATGTCCCAGTTAAATAATCACCAAATATCAAACAGTATTATTTCCATACATATTAAAAAATAAATTAACTAATAATTAAAAAGAATTATTAAAATATCCTTGCACTTTTTCTTATTTCATATTTCATATTATTGCACATATTTTCCACTTAATTGGTATACTAACTATTATTAAGTAATATTTTATCCTATTTAATTGGGTGTGATTAATAATAATAAAATTAGGTTAATGTGAATTTTTATTTAAAATAATATTGTAAATATTATATTGAAGAGTAAAGTAGGTGAATAGTAAACACTTGTATAATTCATTAATCTAACTAAATTCAAGAAAAAAAGAAGTTTTAGATTGATTTCCCAATATTCCAGCCCATAGGAGTTATACTGAGGACTATGATTGGTACACATCAACGTGAGTCAATTAAGTCCAATTAAAAAAGAAAATCAGAATCTCAGAGTCATTTTTCAATTGGGTTTGGGTTTAATTCAGAAAATGTCAAAAATCATTTTACTTAACTCTATTCATGGAACCCCATATAAAAATAATTAAAATAAAATAAAAATTTAAAGATGTTTAATTGAAAAATAAATAAAAAATTGACAAGTAGTATAAAATAATATATTTTACTAATTTATTATGTTTTAGTTTAATACCACTAAATAACTTTTATTATTTTTATCCTGTCTCCCTGTTATTTCTCACCCATAAGAGAATAATGTCAGGTGTTGGGTTGCACAATTTAAAAGCTGTAGTTGTGTGATTCAGAAATTCAGAGCAGTAGACAGAGAAAAAAGATGACGGAGAAAAACAAAGTGAAAAAAAAAGGTAAAAATATAAATTATTTAATTAAAGAGAAATAAAATATAATTTTATCTTTTTTATTTAATTTTGAAAAAATATATTAAATTTACTTATAAATTAATCAGAAGAAGAAATCAAAACTGTAAAAATTATAAAAATAATATGAAATAGGAATTTTTATAATTGTTTGGTCCATGAAATAATATGATATATTTGAAAATATATAAAGATGAGTTACTGGAATATATTACTTAATAAAATTAAATGTGTGTTTTATAAGAAAAATTGTATACATTTCTTTGGTGAATGCAAAATTTCTTTCAATTTCATGTTTTAACAATTTTTTTAAAATCAAATTATTTATTTTATTTTATCATTTTCATTTTCATTTGGCAAGGGGTTTGAAATTGGGAGAATATATATGGTGGAGAAAGAAATTATAAATTACATCTTGAAGTAACTACTTTTAACGTGATTTTTTCGTCTTATCTAATTCAAATTCACTTAATTCAAGTTATTTAGAGCATTTTTAGAGAGAGTTGCTATCAAGAGTTACTTAAGAATAAAATTAAATATTTTTGTATGGGTCCTACATTTGAGTTACTTAAAAGTAAAAAAAGTGCTTAAAATTGGAAGAAAGTTACTTGGATAAGCAAT